GCAAAAGACGGTCTGCACGGGAGAAACACTACTACATTCTACATGTATATGCAAGACCTCTTTCGGTTGTACCATTTACTAGTGGATGCTGAGAAAGTCACATTCTGAATGTGTATCATTCTAATAGACAAATCATGATGGGCAGTTCAAGTTTAACCATGGCAGTCAGAAGATAGTTTTGAACCCAAAAAAGGTGTCAAACTCGGACGATTTGATATTGTAATTGTTTCCACGTGGCAGGAGAGAGTGCTTACCACTACTGTTTAGTAACCTCCACGTATGGGATACATGTGGAAGATAAAAGAGACTTGATCGAACCGACGATGATGGTGGTTTAACAGCTTCAGTTAACCATTCATTCCTGCTCAGTTATATACTTATATTACATTAGTAATTATTGTAATATATATGATTTTTTGTTAAACATTGTAATATATATGATGGGCTAACTAAATAGTAAATACTTAAGGGCTTTCCAAAAACAAACTGTATAGTTTTGCATACTGTACAAATATAGCGACAAAGACATAAGAAGTTTAAACTTCTACCACATCTTCTCTTTTATTGTATTAAAACATTAATACTATTTGTGTTCAAAATCCAAGGTTATTGGATTAGCACTAAAAAAAAATGATTATTCTCACAATTTTGTTTGTCACAATGCATAAATTTTCCGTCACAAAACTCTTATTGTGACAAAATTGTTACTAGTTGTAAAAGGTTAGAGTAGAATCATCACAAATCACGTTATGTCACAAAAATTGTCACAATGTGTTATGACGTTAATTTTTAGTAACAAATTGTCACCAATTGTTACACTATTAAAATAGTCACAAAGCCGACACAATTTATGACAGATAATATTGTAACAATTATGTCACAAATGGTGACACTAAATTCGTTAGATGTTTGTCACAATTTGTTACCATATTTTAGTTATTAATGTGTTACAAATTGTGACAAAATAATGTTAGAAACCACGTCACATTTCATGACAAATTTATTGTCACAAACACGTAACAATTTGTGATGGAAAATAATGTCATAATTCTGTTACATTTAGTGACAAAGTAATAGTCACATATTCGTCACAATATGAGGTTTGTTTGTGACGTTTTTAGCTACGGAGCTCGTTAGAAATTGTTACAAATTTGAAAATAAAAAAAACCATATAAACTTTGTCACACTACTCCCGTTTTTGTTTTTATTGAAAAAAATTATAAATTAAAGTACTAAACATAAAATAAACAGATGATGATATTACTTAACAAAATATCTTACAAACGTAATCAAAGAAACATGGAAGCAAATAGTATTTCACAAAATATAAACTAAACAAACTAAACAAAACAAAGGATAATTAAGTAGAATCTAGAAAATCTAGATTATGCGGACGATGTTCATGGTGGAGTTGGATCTACTGACTTGCAAAGGACTCAACCATTTTCTCCATAGCTTCAAGTCTTTTCTGAATCTCCTGATTTTCTTCACGGCTCTGTTGCAGTTCAGTTTCCATTACTTGCATCCGATTTGTTATCATCTCTACTTCAGAAGGTTGGGGTTCACTTGGAGAAGCATCGACTGATGGTAAACCCTCACCTATTGCTCCAAGGCCAAAGACAGGGCTTTGTTTAGAAGACCCAGGAGCACCAGCAGCAGCCTACAACGAAAGACACACAAAAAAGATAATAAAAACAAAATACACACTACAAGATAGTTAACATTTACATTACAACAAATAGCTTGTCACAACATGTAAACCATGCAATCAATCCAATAAGTTCCAGCGGTTCTTATTTTAGATCAACAAGATGAGAAAACAACTTAAACATACGATGTGTTATATCAGATTTTAGTCATACCTCTACACAGAATTCAGATTTTATTGCAAAAAGTTAAACATATAAACATACGAATGCTTCATAATATTTGTTAAAACTCTTGTTATTCACAACATAACTAAGACCCAGCGACAAAGACACAGGCAGGCAGGACAAACTGACGAAAACATTAGCTCAAACTTCTTATCAGTATAAAGTTTTGAAATACTACCTTGATATAAATCTCATTTTTCACACGTATGTCAAGATTTTCAGCTGTCACATTCTCTTGACCAGAAGCTTGTAGTTGTCTCAAGTGTTCTTGTAGAAGCTCCTCATAAGTCTCTGCAACCAGTTGTGCTCGTTGATCAGCGTATGTTCCATCAGGCTTCTGATTAGCTTTCTTCATCACAGCAATGAAAGAGTAATCTTCATTGTTTGCTTCCTGAAAACATACGTGCAATAAGAAACTTTACAGAAATAACAACAACTAAAAACCAGTAATGAAAAGGATAGAAATTACCAGAACATCTTGAACTTTGGCATAGGAACGTGAACCAGATATGTGGGAATGTGGACCCAAGCCACTGCGATCAGACAATCGAGAATTACGAGCCTTCTCGCTATTGGCTTTTGCTTTTGGTGTTGCCCAATAAGCTACCATGATGGTCCAATAGTCTTTCAAAATCCAGTCTGGTTTGACTCCAGTCCTCTTTGCATGACTTATCATACCTCTCAAACGATAAGCAGCAAGCTTATTAAACTCACTTTGAACTTGACCATTGATAGTAGGATCCCAATTAAACTTTCCCTGATAACAAAGTATATCAGAAACGATGAGTAACACTGGGAATGAAATCACGAAGTTAAATAACACGAAGTCTAATTTTTGTTTTTTGCTTTTGAAATCACGAGAATACCTTAAACAGATTAAACAATGCTTGTCTGTAGAAGGTTGACACTCTTTTCCAGGAGTACCATGGGCCTTTGAAGTAACTTTGAATGACCCTTCTTACAGCAGTTGATACTTGTGTGTGGTGCTTAAACCTGTTTCATTATAATAGATTACAGAAGAGTTATAAATCTGTAGAGAAGTCAACTGGTTTTAAGTAAAATACACATACCATTTAGCTCCATTTGCCCGAGAAGGATGCAGCATGGGTAAGTCCGAACGATCCACAAGTGCCTCTTCCATATCTACACAATACACACACAAATCCAATGTAAAAAAAAAAACAAAAACAAAAAAACAGAAGACAAATGAGAATAGCTCGAACAGGAAGATGATAACAGAGCAAACCGGAAAAGCCTTTAAATTGACTTATAGATTAGATTCTAAAAGTACAGAAATGTGAAGAACACCTTAATGAGAATCTCAGAAACTTAAGTGAAAGCCGTAAAGGAATATGATTTGCGAGGAAGGATCTACTTGATATAAAGGAAACTGGAGAGAACGGTTATTGAGAGGCTGAGTAAGATGGTTAGAAAATTGACACGTTTTGATATTGGGTAGTTTTCACAAATTTTTGGTTCTATTGCCAAATTTTAAGGCGGTATAATGACTTATCACGATATCGCCAAAAATTAGGGCTAAGCTTCACAAAATTTTAGCTAATATATTCATTATATATCTGCAACTATATGGCAGCTAATAATATATCGTAGAGATTTGATAGATTCATTAACTTAAATTAATGTTAGTTTTTATTATATACTTTAATAACAATGTAGAGATCCTAAATGAAATAGAAATCCTAGTCGGAACAAAAGTTCTATTTGGAATAGGAGTCATATTTGGAATATGAGTCATATTTGTAGAGTACTGGTCTATAGCTCAACTTCAAAACCCTTTCTTTTCTATAATATTATCAAGATCTTTGACGTCCTTTTATCCTGCATTGAAGCTTCACCGTCCACACTCACCACAAACCATGATCATAAGACAAGAAAGAAATTATATATTTATAACAAGTTTCACACGAAAACATGTATGATACCCATAACAACAACCGTAACACATTCAGAACAAGATTTATACCATAACCCATGACATAAGAAACTTCTTGTGCGTGAACATAAGAAGTGAAGCTTTGAATATGAGAAAAATATAACTTATGAGAAAGAAAAAAAAACACTAAATCAAGAACTTAAATTAAAAGCAGTGTGGAAATTGAATTCTCCATATTTCTAGTAATCCTTCTCGAATTCCTTTATCAATTCCTTTATCGGGATGAATCTCTCCATACTCATGGAAAACTCCTTTTTTGTTTAGATCAAAATCATGTGGCAATTTTTTATCTTTCTCCATTTGTTGACCAGATCCATCTTCCTGGTTAAACTCTTCTCCATCGTCTAAATAAAACGTTTTGTTTAGATCAAATTCATGTTGAATTTTTTTCGTCTTTTGCCTTATTTCTTGAACAAATTGTAGTTTCTTTGCCTTTTGATCATTTTCCGATCGATTCTGGTTTCATATTTTCTGTGAACATGAATTGAACAAAAAAAATTAGATCACATTTGAATAAGCAGCTTCAATTAAAATTTAAACAACATAAATTATCATTTATTAGAAAACATCTATAACCAAATATTAATAACTCTATATCAGATATAAAAATGTAGAATTTAATATAAAAACAAACACTACTTAACATACAATTTCAAAAACATATATACATAGAAATAAAATTTTATAAACAATATATAAAAACTAACACTTTTGGGAATCTGTAAAGAGAAATGAGAGGAATAGCTGCAAAATAATCGAGAGATATGGAATTGAGAAAGCAAATTAATGGATATCCAGATCTATAACATCTCTTTAAATAGGCTAGATTAAGCCATAACGAACAAATTTTTGTATTTCCTATAATCAAGGAAGATTTATTCAATTTGTACTTAATCAACAAAGATTTACTAAAAATACATAAATTTAATATTGATATGTGTATTTTTTCTTTTCATTAGTTAATTCAATTGTGATAAGGACGAAACACACAATATTTTAATTATAAACTAAAAAAAATAAAACATTTTCTCGCCGTTTGTTCCTCACAAAAAACCAGAGAATAAAGATCATCGTAATCATTAAAATAGCTAGGGATTATAATTGTTGCTGATAAATTTTCCTCGCTAACAAATTTGGTTCCTCAACTAAGGAGGTATGTCGCTTTGATATATGTCGCTTTGATAGTTTGTAAAACTTTATAATTTTATTTCCTAGTTGTGTCATGACTGCCATGTTAGGTCAAATTACTCCTTCGAAGGAATTGGCTTGACTCGTCTTATTCGATCGATTAAAGTTACATCTTATATTTTCTTATGCTCTAAAGCTAGAAAAGCTAATTCTTATTTTCTTTTACATCTATTTTCAGATTATTTCAATGTCTACCAATAGCGATGTCCATGCTACAAAACGTTGGATGTATGAAAGGATTGATCATACAACCAATAAAGTTTCGGAAACTTTTTGTCAAGGGCTGCAAAATTTCATGGATTTTGCAAAAAGTCAACCTCTATTTCTGGAAAACAAGAAGTTGTTTTGTCCATGTGTTAAATGTGAGAATGGAGGTAGATTATTGGAAGAAGAAGTCGTAACAGCACATTTATATAATAAAGGTTTCATGCAGAACTATTGGGTCTGGACATCTCATGGAGAAGATTATAATATGTTCGACAATAATTCTGAAGAAGATGCGTTCACCACAAAGCCAACAAATCCTTATGTGGCAATGGTTTCAGATGCATTTGGCAATACAGAGGCAGAGGCAGGATTTGATCAGATGAACGAAGAAGAGCCTAACCCCGAAGCAAAAAAGTTTTATGATATTCTGGATGCTGCAAAACAACCAATTTATGATGGATGTAAAGAAGGTCTTTCGAAACTATCTTTAGCAGCTCGGCTTATGAGTTTGAAGACGGATTACAATTTATCTCAAAATTGTATGGACTCCATTGCTAAGATGATGCAAGAATATTTGCCAGAAGGTAACAACTCGCCCAAGTCGTACTATGAAATCAAGAAGCTTATGCGGTCTTTGGGCTTACCTTATCTCAAGATAGACGTTTGTCAAGATAATTGCATGATATTTTGGAAGGATACTGAAGATGAAGAAAAATGTTTGTTCTGCAAGAAAGACAGATTTCGTCCTACACAAAAGATTGGGCAGAAAAAAATCGCACATCGAAAAATGTTTTATATGCCGGTAGCTGATAGATTGAAGAGATTATATCGGTCTGTTAATACTGCAAAAAATATGAGATGGCATGCAGAACACTTTGCGAGAGATGGAGAAATGAGTCATCCATCAGATGGTGAAGCATGGAAGCATTTTCACAAGGTATTCCCTGACTTTGCATCTAATCCAAGAAATGTTTACCTTGGGTTATGTACAGATGGTTTTAATCCATTTGGTATGTCAGGGCATAATTATTCATTATGGCCTGTTATATTGACTCCGTATAATCTGCCACCTGAGATGTGTATGAAGCAAGAATTTATGTTTCTAACCATTCTAGTCCTGGTCCAAAACATCCTAAGAAATGTCTAGATATATTTCTTCAACCACTGATAGAAGAGCTGAAAGATCTGTGGGTTGATGGTGTTGAAACATATGATATTTCTACTAAGCAGAACTTTTTGTTACGAGCAGCACTCATGTGGACAATCAGTGATTTTCCTGCTTATGGTATGCTTTCGGGATGGACAACCCATGGTCGGTTGGCTTGTCCTTATTGTTTGGATAAGACCAATGCATTTCAGTTAAAGAATGGCAGAAAAACAAGTTGGTTTGATTGTCATCGGTGTTTTCTACCAGAAGATCATGAAGATCGACATAATATAGTCAATTTCAGAAAGGGAAGAGTTGTGGATGGTAGTGCACCTCCGATACTAACAGGCGATGAATTCTTGAATAAAGTCTCCAGGTTTCCAAAAACAGTTGCTTGCGGGGGAAATCATGGAAAACTGCAAGGATATGGTAACACTCACAACTGGCATAAGCAAAGCATTTTTTGGGAGCTACCTTATTGGAAAGATCATCTACTTCGACATAATCTTGATGTGATGCATATCGAAAAAAACTTTTTCGACAATATCATCAATACTTTACTAGATGTGAAGGGGAGAACAAAAGATAACATCAAATCACGACTCGATTTGAAAGAGCATTGTGATCGCAAAGAGTTGCTGATAAAGACTAATGGAAAGGCACCAGTCCCAATATTTAGATTACAAGCAGAAGCGAAGAAAGTGTTTCTGCATTGGCTCGAAAAGGATGTTAAATTTCCTGATGGATATTCATCAAGTTTATCAAACTGTGTTGATATAGCGGGAGGAAAGTTAACCGGAATGAAAAGTCATGACTGCCATGTTTTAATGCAACGGCTACTTCCAATTGCATTTGCTGAGCTAATGGATCAATCTGTACATAGTGCACTATCTAGTAAGTTCTCAACTTTCATTTATTCAATTTTTATAATTACCTCTGTGATTCTCTTGCATTTATGTGGTATATGCGTTGGGTTTTTTTTTTCAGTTACTTGCATTGTATGCTTTCATGTTTATGCATTGATGATGATTAGCAATATATTCTGAGCTTGATAGAACATCGCATAACTTATGGAGTTCATATTGGAATTGAGCTCTGTTTTTTCCTGTGTAAACCTAACTTATAGAGATTTGCATTGGTACCAAGATCGTCGTCTAAGGCTTTCTGAGTCGACGGCAAACGGTCCCAAAATATACCTGTTCGCACAGCAACATATTCCTTCCCAGATTAAACATCTCATAACTTATGTAGTTTACGTTGGAATTGAGCTCTGTTTTTTTCTGGGTAAACGTGAGTTAGATATCTTTGCATTGGTACCAAGATCGTCGTCTAAGGCTTTCTGAGTCGACGGAAAACGGTCCCGAAGTATGGCTGTTCGCAAAGAAACATATTCCTTCCCAGATTAAACCTCTCATAACTTATGTAGTTTACGTTGGAATTGAGCTCTGTTTTTTTCTGGGTAAAATTGAGTTAGATATCTTTGCATTGGTACCAAGATCGTCGTCTAAGTCTTTCTGAGTCGACGGCAAACGGTCCCGAAGTATGGCTGTTCGCACATAAGTACTTTATTTATTTTATTTTTTTTGCAGAAAATCTGAAAGCTTATTTGTTTGATTATGCTTTTGATTTTGTTTTGTTTCGTTGATTTGTTATGTCGTGTTTATTTAAACTTCATATTCTTATACTAATCTTTTTTTCTGTTTGTAGGTGTGAGTTTATTTTTCCAAGACATATGCGCAAGGACTATACACAGAGATGGTGTAGCGATGATGCAGAAAAATATTTCTGTGGTTCTTTGTAACCTAGAGAGAATATTTCCTCCTTCATTTTTTGATGTCATGGAGCATTTACCGATTCACTTGCCACACGAAGCTAATCTTGGAGGACCCGTGCAATTTAGATGGATGTATTGTTTTGAACAATATATGGGCCATCTACAGAAAAAGGTGAAGAATAAGGCAAAGGTAGAAGGTTCAATTGTTGAACAATACATAAACGAAGAAATTTCTACTTTCTGTAGTTATTACTTTGAGCCTCACATCGAAACCAAAAATCGGAGAGGAGATCGACACTATGATGGAGGTGATCAAAAAGCTACACATGACACTGATGAAATTCCAGATATCTTTTCTCAACCAGGGAGGGGCAGTGGTAAAGAAAAGAAGATTTGGCTCAAAGATGAAGATCACCGTATCGCACATACATATATTTTGCGGAACTGCGACCAATTAGTATCATTTGAAAGGTATGACAAATTAAAATGCACATATATAGTTTAATTTATATTTTGATAGTGACTATAAAACAGTGTATTTATTCTTCATGTGTTTTTTCTGTAAAGGTTATTTGATGAGAGCATGATTGCTGCTAATCCTGAGATAAGCGTAAACAACAGAAATGAGCTTATGGATAAAGAATACTCCAACTGGTTGGAAAAACATGTAAGATCTATTTCTGTTTTAATATTTGATTTGGATAAATTGTGGAGTAGCTTATATTATTATATATGTTGTATACATGGATTTTAAAACAGGTGGAGGATACTTGGAAGGATAAATCATATCCTAATTGGTTGTTGAGTCTCATTCATGGTCCAATGATTCAAGCTACTTCTTGGCCAATTTATTTTTGCCGTGGATATATATTTCATACATATGATCATGGGAAAGACAAAAAGAATGCCAATTATGGAGTTTGTGTCAAAGCTACAACATCTGATGACTAAAGTGAAGAATCTAATTTCTATGGAGTATTGAGAGAGATTTTAGAGCTTCGTTATCCCAGACCTGTTGATCTAAAGCTTGTGGTCTTCAAGTGTGACTGGTATGATTCAACCATTGGAAATGGTATACGAAAAAACAAGTCAGGGATTATCGATATCAACGATAAAAGACGTTATGAGAAATACGATCCTTTTGTTTTGGCTTCACAAGCAGATCAAGTATGTTATGTTCCATATCCACGGATGACTCAACCAAGAAAAGATCAACACTGGAAAGCAGGAATTATGATACCACCGAGGGGGAAAGTGTTGGTCAACAAAAACTTGGATTTCAGTGCAATGCAACAAGAAAATGATGATTTTATTGTCCAAGTTGATTCATTGCACGTCGACACGTTGACAAGTATACATGGCCAAGAAGAAGATCTTGATGATCCAGAAGTAGAAGCGGAAATCGGATCTGACACCGAAAATACCGAAGATGGAAATTATGATATCGAGTTATCTAGTGACGATGAATAATTGTGTCATTTATGCTATCGTACAATTATTATGTATTTTTTAGGTTTCTCCATGATTGAAGAATACTCTTATTATGATTTCGTTATGCACTTCCTCTTTTATAATGGCTTTTTAGATTGTGTAAGATCTAGTTCCAGCTTTATTAAGTTGAAATTATTTGCAAATTGATTTACGGTGAAGAATTTTTATTTGTTTGGTGTGCATGTGATCTGTTATTATTTGTTGTTTTAATGGCTTCAGTTTGGTCATTGTAGTTGTTTGTTAACGCTCTCTCTACTCCCATGCTCGTTTCTCTACTCCCATGCTCGTTGGCTTGTTCAAACTTTGGCCAGGATTCGTAAAATGGGAAATAAATCAACTTCCTAAAGGCATCGTTGGAAATACTGCTTATTGTTTCTTCATGACTTTCCTCTTCTCGTTTGTGATAAGTCGTATACCCTTTTTTCTTATATGTACAGAAAGTCCTATTTAGAATAGAGATTTTACTTTGAATAAAAAATAATATTTGGAATAGGAGTCATATTTAGAATAGGAGTCCTATTTGAAATAGGAGTCATATTTGGGAAAAAAAATCATATTTGTAGAGTATTAGTCTCTAGCTCAACTAAAAAACTCTTGCTATCTTCTATAATATTTCTATAATATTATCAAGATCTTTTTTTTGTAAAAAAAAAATAATTAATATTATCAAGATCTTCATTGTCTTCGCTCACCACAAACCATGATCATAAGACAAGAAAAATTATATATTTATAACATGTTTCATAGACAAGTAAATGTTTCGGAATGTGTTTATGTAAAACGAGTTTTATTTTTTCAGGTTTTCTTATTTTAAGAGATGAGAACAACAATTAAGGAAGAAGAAAAGTGAATAAAAATAATAATTACTGAAATTTTAAATTCATGATTTTTTTTAATATTGTCACAAAGTAATAACAATTATGTCATTAAGTATGACCTAACACAACAGTTACGAAAACAGTAGCTAAATGTGACAAGATACTTATATAAATTTTGTAACTATGAGTGACAGAAGTTTTGTTACCAAAATTGTAATAATTTAGTTACAAGATTCAGTCACAAAACCGTAACCACATTTCTTACCTTATATTTCATAACAATTTTGACACAATTTGTGACAAAAATTTGTTATTTTTATTTCTGTCACAATATTATAACGAAATGCTTACGCTTTTATAACCAAATAATTTCGTCACATTATGATATATAAATGGTCATAATATTATGACTAAACGATTGGTCACAAATTTTTTGTAAGAATAACCACTTTTTTTTGTAGTGTAGTTTGCAATGGATATACTTTAAAAATTATAAAAATCTCCTCTTATTGACAAATTGATATCTTTAAAAATTATTAAATCAACTTTAATTTTTTAAATCTTCATAAGATTTGAATGTATCCAAATCTACCCTAATATAATTATTTGATTCGATATGCCCTCCTAAGAATATATAATAATTATAGTTGTTGCAAAATTAATTAACGTCGATGGGGTATCCACCAAAGGGGTCGCTGGAATGGATCGACACAAAGTTGATATTTCTGTTTTCCGTGATGATCTTCTTCCTCTTTGTTATCTTTCTCTCTCTCTTGGGCTGTATCTTCTTACTCCGACATCTGGAGACCTATGATAACGACGATCACGACTTATACGAGGAATATATCCGACGATCAAAGATGCAATCTACTACGACCTAGAAGAAGATGGAACTATCCTCCTTGGCTTATTCTAGACATTTTTCTCAATTGTCGGTGTTTTGTTAATTTTTCTTCTTAATATTTTTTTTGGGGGGTCTAGCAATTGTTACTTCCGTCTTTCTATCAAGTGATTTGTTTGCAAATTGTCTTGCGTTCTTAATTTATTGGTGTTTAAACTAAACGAATTATGCTAATTGTTCTTCATTCATCTTACATTCTTACTGAGTAAAATTAATGTACGCGGAGAGAGCAAAACAGAATTAAGGAAGTCTGTTGAGACTTATTATATCTCTTGTAGATAACGACACAAAACTCTAAAGTTTACAGAAGGAAAAAAAAGATGGTCAAGGAATTAATTCCATTGATCACCGATGACTAGACTTATCTTATAAATTTTTAAAGAAAAATGAAAAAAAAAAAAATCACACAATTTGATCTGAATCCCATAATTAACGAACAAACCCTGAATCTTGACTGACAATGGTGAATTCGTGGTCCTGAATCTGCTCGCCGATCTTCTCATCGGTTTCTATAGTAGTATATGAGGGTTTAGCAAGAGATCGCCACTCACGAAACAATGCATATCCAATGATTCCCAAAAGAACAAGGCAAACGAATATGGTTCCGGCCAAGTAATACATGTATGATAACGTTTCTTCTGAAGAATCACCATAAATACCCATGGTCCAGCGATCGACAAAGGGTCCAAGTCTGTTTGTGATAATATATAACTACAGGTTTTTCAATATATATATTTTAACGTTGTTAGTCCAAATCACTTCCTATTTGTAATCCAATTAGAAAAAATAATATTGTGAATAATACTTATATGGAATAATAATTTTTGGAGATAATTGTCTCCAGAAGATAAATAATAATTTCTAAAGATAATTTTCTCCGGCCAGAAGATAAATACATACAACAGATAACTACGAGATGAGAAAAAAAAAGACTGATGAAGAAATCAAAGAAAGAATAATATAGCAACAATAAAACGCTACTCAAGTATTCACCAAAAAAAAAAACGCTAGTTAAGAAAGTATTCAAATGCAATCACAATTAAGTAATGCTATTCCCTAATTGTGAACACTGGTTTCCCTTTATCTTCATTCGCAAACTTTGTGCGTTGCCTTGAACTTCCATCATTCGAGCTCGTGGATTAGATTCATGGGTTGAAATTCTGATGCAAAATCTCTTCATCTTTCTGATTTTCTTTTGTTCCTTTTGCCTTTGTTGCATACGAGCAAAATCTAACACAAAGACAAAATCCGAAAAGAATAACAATGACGGACATCACCTCCATGACCCGAAGCAACACTTTCACTTTTTCTTCATATCGCGATGTATCCATGGCGTTACTGCGTTAGCGAGATGTCTCCAAAAACCCAACCTAATTTAATGAGACGTATGCAAGTAACTTTTGAAGGTTCAAAATAAATGAAAACAAATCGTTTCGTGAGTATCTGTTTTACTTATATATTTTATTTAGCCAAATTACCTAATTTACGGGGTTTTAATGCATATCAAATCCACTTATAGTTTTAAGTCTATGCATTAACAAAAAAAAAAAAAAAATTAAAACTCTTTTCTTGTTAAAGAATATAATGAAAACTCTAGTTTAGAGAAACGTTATATCCTTTGTTTTATATTTTAGGATTCCTAATGTGAATTGATTTACACGTCGTCTTATATTTATACACATATGTTATTGTTTTACACATGCTCAACTAATTATCTATTATCTGATCTATGGCACCTCCTCCGTGTGCATCTACTTCTCGAACGTTCGACGCACGGCGCGATGATATAATAGATCTTGCAGAGGGGATTATACTCTTAACCGCTTGCTTTGTCTACATCTATGTGATTGTGTACATCTTAATATTGGGGTGGTTGATTGAAAGAGAAGGTACTAAAAAGGAATATTTTCGCTTACGCGATGTTGAACTCGGAAGGTTGCCTGCTGGAGAGCTCATCCAAGAGCAATCAGATGGAGAGGAAAGCGGTTTGGCCAACGATCACGGCCGCGGCTGAGTTCCGAAGACAATGATCTGAAATTATTATTTTTTCTTAAAAGTTATGCTCTTTTTGTTACGATTTTAATCACTTGCTTTATTACCGTTTGCTGTATTTATGAAGTATGTGTTAATCATTAAGCTCTTCATTGCAACGATTACTTTGGCAGTGATTCTACAATTCTAAGGGTGTTTAGTCATCGACTTTCAATGGAGTCCTTTATTGTTATTTTTAGATTGACTCTCGAGCGTTCATATTAATGAATAATCATGAATTCAATATTGTTTATGGCTAAAAAAATATTCAGTTTTAGATTATGAGTCTATAGAAAACCATGGGATCAAAGATATCATAGAATCTATAAATAACAAGAAGTCAACTAATCATCCAAACTTTTACGGATAATCGAATATCTAATAAGTTACGAACAAGTAAATAAACTTTACAAATCGTAGGAAAAAAAGAAGAAAAGTTACAACTTACAAACCAATGGAATAATGGATCACGAATACTTAGAAAGTTAGAAATTTGTAGATTCGTTCCGTCTTCATACTATGATGTTAAACTTAATGGATACCCGTGCTCCTGATTGGCCGAGAGATCAAGTTTTTTTATTGTTTGAAACGTACATACCAACTTTTTCGCATCTTGTTTGGATTGTAAATCATTACTGTTAATATTGCAAATCAATAAATACCCATGGTCCAGCGATCGACAAAGGGTCCAAGTCTATTTGTGATAATGTTTAACTACAGGTTTTTCAATATATATATTTTAGCGTTGTTAGTCCGACTCTTACTTCCTATTTGTACAATAATATTGTGAAAAATACTTATATGGAATAATATTTGTACAAGAAGAGAAATAATAATTCTCCGGCCGGAAGATAAATACCTACGACATGTAAGTCTGATATGACTTTTGAGAAAGAAAAAAAAAAAACTGATGATGAAGAATTAAGAAATCAAAGAAAGAATATAGCAACAATAAAACGCTACTTAAGTTCTTAAGCCAAAAAAAAAAAAAACAAGAAACGCTAGTTAAGAAAGTATTCAAATCCAGTCACAATTAAGTAATGCTATTCCCTAATTGTGAACACTGGTTTCCCTTTATCTTCGTAGCAAACCCGCGCGTCCAACGCGCTCAATTAAATTTCTTTTTAGAAAATTAAAATAAATTAATAATATTTTATGCCAAATTAAATCTGTATTTATAAAATACATTAGATAGCATTTTTTATTTATATATATACATTATTTTTAAAAAATATATAATATGAATTATATAATTCATTCTCGGTTAATTTACATTATTATATTAGAATGTCCATTTTGTAAGCATATTTGAAGTTTATAACCAAGGGTTTTTATTTATAAGAATGGAGTAACTAAGATATACAATAGCTTGAAGTGAAAATGATATCCTGCTCTTTACAGCCAAGTTCTTGCATAATTGATGAAAGCCAATACGAAAAGCTATATTTGCAGTTCATAATTTAAAAAGTTCACAATTTTTTTTACCTGGTTGAAGTGATAAATGTGTCTAAATTCAGAGCCATTCCGCCAATACCACTACTTTCCAAAACGTTACACAAAAAATGTTTTCCAATAAAGACATAATAAGGATATGAATCTGATCAAAGTCATTTGAAGAGTGTTAAAACTCATTTTTATTCTCTCTAACGAAAATGCCTTCTTGAAACCTAACACGGTCACATCACTTTTGGAGTAATACTCAGTCCCCTCAATTATTTTTGTTCTACAAACAAAAATTCAAAGAGGAGAAAAAATCAGATTAAACATTAAGAACAAGAACAAGAGAGAAATTAAGAGATAGAAAGAGAACATGTTGCTTACAATTTTCCCCATCTAGCGATAGAAATTTGTGTCTTTGCCTCCACATTGTTCTCGTTAACAAAAGGGAAAACATTTTTTTTTCGTTCCATAACAAAGAGAACATTTTGCTGACCAAAAAGTGTATGCTTAGTCTTTTAGCCGAGAAACGACATCACATAATGCCCATGTGTTTTAAATATTTATTCATCTTAACGTGGAAGTGAAGCCCATATACAATGCCTCCTTGCTTTGCAATCATATCATCACCATCCCGTTGTCTCGATATGGCCGAGAATAAAGCCCCAATATGATGAGTTTTTGAACTAAGGAGGTTGTCGATGAGAGCACCATATATCTTTCTCTTTTGCATCCATTCGTTCCGTCATGCTATTCAGGGATCCCACCATATCATCAATGAGATTTAATCCAAAACGATGATAATATGAACGTTGGAGGAATTGGGTTTTAACAAACTGTCCAAAGAATTACAATTAAACTAATCCAAATTCTGGAAAAGGCACATGACACAAAATGAAAAGGAAAAAGACAACCAAAAACATCTGAAAATGTTATCTTCGTCAAGCTTTTTTAGCATTTACACAAACTGCAACTTATATGGTCAATTACATGAACCAGCGTAACGGTTCGTAACGATACGTAACTATTCGTATTGGTACGTTACTTTTCATATATAATTGAATACCCACTCAAACTTAAGTCATGACTTGCACCTTTTAGGTACAACGTTGAGTTTCAATCATGGCTTCAAATTCCTAATAAGTTTAACTATGATATCCTTTTCCATTTTCCGTTTATAAATCTATCAATTCATATATATAAGACGAAGAGAGGAAAGAGGAGAAATGGTGGCTGCAGACGAAGACAAGGCCAAGCGACATTGAAACCGATACCAATGAAAGAAAAGAAAAACTGATTAAATTGGTGGTATATCAAAGTTGTAATTGTTTGCTAATTTCTATTTAAGTGAGAAGTCATAATGATTGGTGAAAGTCATTTCTCTTCATTGGCATCTCAAGAGGAAGAAACACAATGATTTACAAGATGATTCATAAGAGCTGCAACGTTTCGATTGTGTGGCTATCTGGTTAGAAAGCAAATCTACCCTTCACCGTTCAATCTTAATACAATACATTAATTGTTAGACTGAAGTTTCTTTTTCCTACATTAATAAGCGACATCAGCAAACATTCATATCCGGTAGATTACCAAATCAAAATAAATATAACCGTAAAGTACTCCGCAATCTCAATAACTTCCAATCCAAGTAAACATTAAAACATACATTATACATCTCCTCTTTTTACCATCGTTTGATTTCTCGTGAGGAGAATGCCCACTCCAGTGTTCATACATTAACAAATTCGCTTTTACACCATTTCGGTTTTGCCGATGTGGTAAGCTAGTACGGTTGTGTAGCGATTGGGAGCAGTTATTACTTCCATGATACTCCATTTTTATCGAATCTTCATTTTCCCACTTTCACGCAACTTGGTCCTGTTCGTTAAAAGAATCATTCTTCATGATTAACCTTTTCGATTTCGCCTCTTTTGAAGCAAAACAACAAACTCCAAAAAAATCCAAAGAACAATTCGACGTAAGTAGAAATGAGAAATTGACATAAACAAACTTGAAAGCTGTTCAGGGTAGGAGGCGTAGAAAACGGGAACGGCTAATCAACGATTAAGACCACCATTGGAACGAATGAGAGATTGTGTATCGTCAGTCACAGTGGAATCAAAAAACGAAAATATGGTGTTCGAAAATTCTCAGTCGAATCAAGAAATGATAATATAGGGTTTGAAAATCCGAAGAACAATATGAATCAGGAAGGTGTAGATAAAAAAAAAATGAAGAAGCCACAATAAGATTGACCGGAAGAGCAACAAAGATGACAAAGTATAGGAGGAGACAAATCTGAAAATCACGCCTTTAATGAAAGGTTATGTGGTGTAAGATCACAACATCGTTACTGTGAGAAATTTGGAATGTAAAGATGATCTACAAATACTGCAGCGAATATATATAATTTCCGAAAAGATGCATTCATGGTTTCTAATAGTCGTGTTTGTTCGCAGAGCAAAAGAGAGACCCTTCCTGAATGCAGCCCTAATAATTGATTACACCTTTTCGGCAATCTTATGGCGTTTAGATGTTGAAGTTTTTCTGAATCAAGTTTGACCGTTGCTTACATTAAGTAGATTGAATCTAAACCGTTAAATTTGTTTTTATTTTCCTAAAAAAAATGCTGACGTCATCAATAACTAAAACTGATTTTTCGAATTAATCGTGACCGTTGATCAGATTAATTAGATAACTTTTAAACCGTTGGATGAGTTTTTATTTTCCTACAAAAAAATACTGACGTTAGCGATTCCAAAAAGTGAGTTTGCTATTATATATTGATTACTCAATGTAGTACTTACATATTTATCAAAAATGTGTAGTTTCTAGTCATTTTACATAGGAAAAATAAATATCTTCTTCTGATATAAATTCTCTCTTCAGCATAAAAATACAGTAGAATCTGACAACCCCCAAAGCTTTATTTACTTTTACAGAAAGGAAGATGAGTAAGATCAACAATGGCTTCTCCCTGTGCTTGTTTTTTCTTCTCTGGTGTCTTGTGCATTCAGGGATTGCCATTGATCCTTTCTCTCATAGCCACTCTCTCGAAACAGAGGTACTAAAAACTGAAAAAAAAACGAAACAAGTGTCTATTTTTGTAAAATCCAGATTTCTAACAATTGTGAAGCTTTTTATATATAAAGTGTCTAATAAAGCCTCCGCGAAGCAACGAAACGCAAGGGTTATTACTGCTTAGCCGCTCTGTTGAAGATGACTCTGAGCAAGAATGGAAGATAGATGGAAATGGAATCATTAGAGAAATGGCACAGAGAATTCAGCTTTACCGAGGAAATATTTACAGCTTCTCTGGTAATAATATATTAAAATGCAACCCACTCTTTAATTTACATAATTTAGTACATCACAATTTCATGGTTTCTTGTCTAGTAAGTTACTCATCCAACCCAGAGAATTTTGGGTCAATTATTTCTTGTCTGATAAGATACTTTCTTCCAGTTTGGTGTAAGTTTGGATCAGTTAGGTTATCTATATTGAACATCCATAACTTCTCTGTTAATTGAAATACAGCTTGGGTGAAACTGAGAGAAGGAAAAAACAAGAATGTAGGACTTGTGTTCAGGACAGAAGATGGAAGACTTGTTCATGGAGGTGAAGTTAGGGCAAAACAAGGATGTTGGTCTCTGCTTAAAGGTGGCATTGTACCTAATGTTTCAGGCCCTGTAGATATACTTTTCCAGGTACAACACTATACATGTCTTTTCATATAATATGGATACATACATATATTCTGTGTTGATGAGATTTTTATGCGAAAACAGAGCGAAGACAGAGAAGCAAAGATCGTTGCAAACAATGTGTCACTAAAACAGTTTAGCAAAGAAGAATGGAAATTGAAACAAGACCAACTTATTGAAAAGGTTAACCCCTTTTGGCTTTTGATCTATGATCATATATGTTCTTAAATCTATTTGTGTGCTGTTTCTGCTCTTATATGACTCATGTTAATTGCAGATAAGGAAGAGCAAAGTGAGATTTGAAGTAACTTATCAGAACAAAACCGCGGTAAAAGGCGCAGTGATATCCTTTAAACAAACCAAACCATCTTTCCTCTTAGGCTGCGGTATGAATTTCCGGATCCTACAAAGCGAATGTTACAGAAAATGGTTTGCATCGCGGTTCAAGATAACATCATTCACCAATGTAATGAAATGGTACACAACGGAGAAAACACGAGGTCAAGAGAACTACACGTTAGCCGATTCCATGCTTAGATTTGCGGAAGAGAGTGGGATATTGGTTAGAGGTCATAACGTGTTATGGGACGACCCAAAAATGCAGCCAAGTTGGGTGCCGAAGATAAAAGATCCTGAAGATCTGATGAATGTGACACTTAACCGGATAAACTCGGTTATGAAGAGATACAAAGGGAAGTTAACCGGGTGGGATGTGGTTAACGAGAATGTGCATTGGGATTTCTTTGAGAAAAGGCTTGGTGTAAACGCTTCATCAAGTTTCTACAATCTTGCTTATAAGCTTGATCCTGATGTGACATTGTTTGTTAATGAATACAACACGATAGAGAACCCTGAAGAGGTTACCGCGACGCCAATTAACGTGAAGAAGAAGATGGAGGAGATTCTTGCTTGTCCAGGGAATAAGAACATTAAAGGAGCAATTGGAGCTCAGGGTCATTTTAGTCCAACACAGCCTAACTTACCTTACATGAGATCTGCACGTTAGGCTCACTAGGTTTGCCTATCTGGCTTACAGAACTTGATATGCCTAAATGCGCTAATCAGGTCTGTCACCAACTACCTTGCCTTACAAGAAAGCCTTTTTACTATCTTTACTCATTATCATTGTCATGAAAATTGGTTAGCTATAATTTGATTGCTTGATAGGGGAAATATGTGGAAGACATTCTCAGGGAAGCGTATTCGCATCCTGCGGTGAAAGGCATCATAATATTTGCTGGACCTGAGGTGTCTGGTTTCGACAAGCTGACACTCGCGGACAAAGACTTCAACAACACGGAAACAGGAGATGTAATTGACAAGTTGCTCAATGAGTGGCAGCAAAAGTCTTCAGAGGTTCGAAATATTTTCATGGCGGATGATGAGAATGAAGACGGAGAGGTATCCTTGTTGCATGGACATTACAATGTGAGTGTAAGTCATCCATTGATGAAGAACTTGTCCACCAGTTTGAGCTTCGAGGTTACTAAGGAGATGGGTGAGCGTCAGGTGGTTAGAGTTGTAATTAATGCTTAAGATGATAATAATTTCTCTATAAGATTATCATAACAATGAAACTTCTAAAGTCATCTACGATATATCAATAAAATACATCTTTAGGAGCTCTTGAAGAGATTAATGTCTAAAATTTACAGACTATTGACCTTAGTCATATTATTCCCAAAAATTAATTTTGTATGTATAAAACATAATTAAGAAAACCCACACCTAGAATTAGCATTTTCATACCTCCATAACTTGAATTTATTGTTATCTCTAGAAAAATAAAAACAGATAATAAAGTCTTAACTCTACACAAGTCACTGGAAAACACCCAAAAACACAAATGTGAAAGGAAGTGAAAAAAAGCGAAGAGAACACATGGAAGACGGGAACATCGAAATCGGGAGCATAGGAATTATCAGCAATGGATATTTCAGAAGGTGACACATTTAAGAGAGCCTACTAAATTTGCAAAAGTGTGTAGTTGGTCGAAGTGCGTGTTCTTGCACGTGCGCACATGTGTGAATTTGTTGAACCTTGCGTATTTCTTTTTTACGTGCACACGTGCCCACATGCATGCCTGATTCTGCTAGCTATCTCTTACCCTTAAATGAAATCAATCAAAATTCCTTATTTTTTCGGTCATATTTTTTTGTATATTCGAACTTACATGGCATGTGTATGCCAAGAAAGAGATGCAATTCCTAAATATATGAAAATTTTCTATACACACATTTCAAGCTCTGTAATCTTATCGTTTATACAAGCCAGAGAAAATTTGTAGATTTTCAAAAGATCTAATCTTTATTTGGAAAACTTTCAATTATTACTCTTTTCAAAACTTAATAATGCTATAATGACACCAGTGCCAAATTACACGAAAAGAAATTGAACATAAAGTAGAATAATGATAGATTTTTGTTTTCGACACGAGAAATTTAGGTAAGAATTAATTAGATTAGTACGAAAACGAAATAAAAAATGCAGAACAAAATGTGAGGACATGTGATATCATAAAAGCGTAGTCAATAGACCGCTCGGATCTTCTTTGTCACCACTTGTCTGTCGATTTCGCTTTGACCCATGCACCATCTAATTAGTAATTACTCCCACTAATGTAACTTAACATGGAATAATTTATTCATAAACAACATATAATAATATTTGATCAATGGGAATTTATCTCTTCTAGGCTAGTTTTGGAGAATATGTCACGGCGAACTTTCTATAGCATGATATTTATCATAAAGCCTTCAAGGAAAAAAATTGATAATTATCATAAATCCAAGAATCGAGTCATCACACTAGCTGGTTCGTGTTTTTTATTTAGCCGAAATTATAATATATACTATAAGGTTTTGGTAGTTTTATATATTTTGATTAAGTGAAAAAATATGCTTGGATATATACGAATGCTGCATGTCATTCCCATGTTACACACTGCCATTGTAAGAAAAGAGCTACAGAAGTAGCATTATAGAATTTAAAATACAATTTCAATCGAGTTCACATGTTGCGAACTTGCAAAGAAACGCTCGAGTGTGCCTAAATACGCCGACTTATCCATTAGGATCTATAAACTTTCGTTCGTTCATATTTGCTCTAATAACGACAAAAAAAGAGCCCAAATTATTAGACCAACCTAAAGGTTTGAAAATTATTAGGCAGAAGAAGTAGACGATGATAATAAGTTAAAATAAGACGATACTCCGTACCTATTGAAGATAAGACCAAAAATTGAATAAATAAATTAAACAAATAAAGGAAATCACGTATGGAGAGATATATTATAGATGCATGTGTGTAACTATAAATTAAGTCGATTCTTCAGTCAGATTTTTTCCTCTAAATCTTTCTCAACACAGCCGTTCAATCTCAAAAATCCAAACGGAAAAAACAAGAAAAATAGTTGCTTTTTAATAAAACATAAGAGAAAAAATGTTGGGCTCATCGGAATGGAGAAGTGGATGCGAGTCGGGATGGACTCTGTACTTAGACCACTCTGTTTCTTCTTCTCCAAGTGTTTCTTGTTTCCGAGACATCAATGGGTTTGAAAACAGAAGAAGAAGCAAAGATTCATGGGACCAAAACTATGTGCATGGGGACGACGAAGAAGACGAAGAAGAAGACGATTTGTCAATGATTTCGGATGCATCTTCTGGTCCAAGGAATCTTTCTCAAGAAGAATCTGTGAAGAAGATAAACGGTGTTGGTCCCAAGAAACAGAGCAAGAGAGAAAAGAAAAGAAGAGATTGCGATAAAATGAACTCTGTTCTTGATGATACGGCTAGTTCTCATGTAAGTCTTATTTCCAAAAATCTTCTGTAAAACCAAGTGATAATAGTCCATTAGTTATCACTCTATTTTTAGACGACAAATCTTAATTTTTTTTCTGTATTACTGGTAGGTGTATTATATCCTTAGCCACTAGAGAGTTTACATTACATATAAGTCCATCATTAGTTTAGGCTTTTAGCATTTATAGGAACTAGGACATTTTGTTTTTTGGCGATTGAGAAAAATAAAGACGTTTTCATTCTCTTTTGAATGAGGGTCTTGATTTTACCGTTTTTTGTTTGTATACTTCTTGTAGATGTTGCAGAAAAGTGTTGGTGGTAATAAGATAGAGGAAACCTTTCAAGAAAGTACATTGGATTACTCGCAAGGCTTCTCGGCAACTCACTTTCAGGTTTCTCCTTCTCTCTCTCTCACTCTCTCTCTTTCTCTCTTTCTCGCTCTCTGAGGTTCTGTTGAGTACACGTGACTTGTCTCAGCAGTCTCACTATATGTGTTTGTGTGTTAAAACAAGTAGGACAAAGCAGGATTCCAAGAACGGTATGGTTATTTGCAGATGGAAACCAGATTCTAAATAATCAGTTAAGTAATATTATTATATATGTATAGAGAATCACTACCTGTTTACTCTTACTTTATGAAGTGTGATAGTGTATACTTCAATCTGACTAAAACGTTTAATTTAGCAGGTAAGTTGTAGTGTGAGGATCAAATGGAAGAGCAGCTATTTTGGACATTTGTGAAGGTTTGATGGATTGAAGTTATGATTAAAGTGAATCTTATAAGTTCTTATGAAAGAAATGAATGAGTTTAAGCAAAGAAAAAGAGTGTTGTAGAAGAAACCCAAAAATGGAGGGACCAAAGAAAGGTTCCTAAATCTTCACTAGATCTGAATCTTTCCTTTTTTTTTTGATTTATAATTTCGTAAAAACAAGTGTCTCTTGTAGCCGCCTAGCTCTATGTAACTTGATTATTGCAATTTCATGTCAGAGTGTAACAAATTTAAGTGCCGAATAAGTTTTCTCTGGGGGAGCTTTTTGAGTCAAACAAACAATAACTTTAACAGACTATAATATTCTGCAGATTATAAATTTAATTTACAGACGTGAATTCTAAGGGTGAAAAACTACTTCTGAAGAGAGTTAGCACTTATTAAGATTTGGCAGATTACAAGTTGTAAGATTGGAGAGTGTTAACCGGCCCAAGTTGAAATGGGCCTGAATCTATTATGGTCCATCTGAGATTGGCCTTAGCTAAAATTGACTAAAACCAAACCACTCAAAAATACAAATACAAATTATACCATGAAAAATACATGGAAGTACAAGTGTTATCAGACTTATTATCTTAATCTGAGTTCATGACCCAAATAGAACTTGATTATCTTAGTTTTCGAATATTTTATTTAGTTATTTTTGTGCGTTTTATCGTAAGCAGGGTCGAATCATGCCTTAACTATTCCGTATTAGTCTAGATGGTTGTAAGTTGGAACCAATTTTCTCTTCAATGTAGGTAGGTTTGGCGGGAGAAATTTATAGTTTAATCAGATATAAAACATTGAAGTCAACCTGAAGTCACGCTTAGATTTTGCCACACACAATAACAAAAAAAGCCACGATTCAGTTTTGGCTTTCGTTTGAAGTTAACATTGAGGAGACATTATCCAATCACCAAGGTAAAAGGAAAACTATTGAACCACCTACTAAAAGCTATGGAAGAGATTTGAAGACAAGAATAAGATCTTGCATTAGTACTTGATAATATGTGTGATTCGTTAGTGTTTTTGTGTGCATGTATAAAGAGGGGGAGTTTTGACCATTTGCAAGATATCACATAATTAACCCAATAAATAAAAATATCATCTTCTATAAGTTCTTGATTTTCTTCTTCATCTTTTCTACTTGCTGGGCAAGAAGCCTCATTTCAAGTTCTTTTACTTTCTACAATTAAATGAAATGATTTTAAGTGTTTCGTGAGAAACTAATCCTAAACTGTTTTTTAATAAAAAATCCGCAGTTGGTATGCAAAATTCGTCTACCTTTTTTAAAAAAAGCAATGAGTTGAAAAATTATGATCATTGCATTACCATTACCTAGTTCAAATCTAAAATATACTATTAAATTAAAAACCTATATGTATTTTATGCAAATTGTTGACAGCTAATTAGCCTAATTTCAAGTAGTTGCGATTAAACTTTTTTAAAGAAGGTAGGTGCTCACATTGTCGCATTGTTTTTTTAAGCCTAAATCCGAAATCTTAGGACTCTCTATATGATTTGTTGTTGTACTCTAACGGGTTGTTTCTCATCCAAACGTACTTATTTACTTTAGCAAAAATAAATAAAAAGACAAACGTACAAATTTACGAACATATTGCGCCGACAGAATTGGGGCTCCAAGCCTCCAAATGCATATTTTTCTCATTTTTCTACTTTTCTATTTCCAACATATTGGATGAATATGGGTTAGATTTCCACTTTGGTAAACGATAATACTGTTTCTGAATATACTTTCTTGAGTTTCTATGTGTTCCCTATTATTAGAATCCAATCATGTTTTAACTAAGCCATATTAATTAGTCGAGATATGGTTGTAATTTGAATACTCTTTTTACTCTTCAACGTGGATAGCTAGGTACCTAGGGAGATACTTAACTCATATAGCCACGTTCGAGTTACAGAAGCTCATACCCAAAAAAATGTGAATTTCGAAACCAATTATTATATTTTAATGAATTCTGTTGACAGCTAATCTTAAGTAGTTGGGACGAAACAGAAAATGTAGGTGATCACATTGATTTCACCTTGTAAAGCATAGAATTATAAATCTTAGGACTCGGCATGTGATTTAGTTGTACTCTGTTGGATTCTTTCTCTCACTCAAACGTGCATACAAACATAAACTATGTCGACAGAAATGGAGGTCGTAAGTGTTCTCCAGTACCTTGACAACAAATCCATACTGGTCATTGGAGCTGCTGGGTTCTTAGCAAATAGTACACTCTCTCCCCTTACTGTATATCTACATATACTTGTATAAATATAACGTAACAGCCCGCACGTATGTGGTAGTTATCTTGGGATATAGCGTAGATATTACCTTTTCCTGAATATGACTTCCACTTAGAACAACCTCGTTGCGGGTTGGTATAGCAGAGAGTAGGCTTTAATTAACCCATTTGAATACACCAGTAGGCTTGATTTCTAGGTCGGCTTTGCTCACCTTTAAGATTAATCGGATTCATATATGTTGTCGGTTGGTTCTATATATATGTTCGCTTCATTCTTGCGAAGCAAGTTAAACCTTGCATTACCTACTCCGGCCCCACGACCAGAATCAACTAAGATTAGCAACAAAAAAACGTTATAGACAATATGCAGGCATTAATTATAGTTTATGAAAAAACGTTTAAGACAATATGCAGGCATTAATCATAATTTTTAGGTCTAAGTTGTAATATGCATGTGCGACTAATATAGGCAATAATGTCTACGCATTGTAAATGCTTGTTGCGATCACAATATATAAGAATACTAAAGTTTTGGTCATTTGTAAATAGTTTGTGTCATTTAATTGTTAACCCTGCATCTATTATTAGGTTAATCGGCCAAAAATTTTGAGGGTCCAAACAAGACTTCGTTTATGTATATTTTCGTATTCGTTATAAGTTGCTTCTTCGTTATAATATACATAAACAAGTACTATAATATAAATAAGGTTACGAGCTACTTTAATATAATCTTCGTTATATAAATTTAAATGCAGTTTTTGTGGAGAAGATATTAAGGGTGGCACCAAACGTGAAGAAACTGTATCTTCTTCTGAGGGCATCAAAAGAAAAATCGGCTACCCAAAGGTTTAACGACGAGGTTTGTCTCTACGTAGTGGTATATATATGGATCATCTTATCGATTGGTGCTATTAGAGGTCTTATAACTTTTGAGGTGTTTAAAATCAATGCAGGTTTTGGGGAAGGATTTGTACAGGGTGGTGAAGGAGAAGTATGGTTCAAATCTAAATCAACTTACATCGGAGAAAATCACTGTTGTCAATGGGGACATTTGCCTTGAAGATTTGGGTCTTCAAGACTCCGACTTGGCACATGAGATGATCGACCAAGTTGATGCCATTATAAATCTAGCTGCAACTACTAAGTTTGACGAGAGGTACTAATATAGTATCTTATTATTGGTTTATTAAACTACTAGGAACTGAATTTTGAATATCACTCATAGTGTACGCACACAACAATTTTTTGCTAAAACGATCGATATAATGCTATTCAATAATTATAGTTGATAACCTAAATTAAAGGAATGTTTATTAACTGCAGATACGATATAGCATTTGGGATCAACACATTGGGTGCTCTCAATGTCTTGAACTTTGCCAAGAGATGTGGAAAGGTTAAGATCTGTGTTCATGTATCAACAGGTATATACAAAACTATGCTGTCAGTGACTATAGAATAATTTGTTTTATTAGATCGCAATTGATATATTTACGTACAAGTATTCTTCCATGTCAGCTATTCTTTGAGTTGAACATACGCTTCTGATCTATCCCCAGTTTCCTTATCCGTATCTTGATTAGAAAGAGTATCCTAATATATACGTTTACGATTTTATATATTAAGGGAGATTTTCCTAAAAATGATGCTTTAAAAAAGTATGAAACGATAAAGACATTTGAGTCTATGTCAAGAAACAAAAGTGGTTACATGGTATATTAAATGGGATGGGACTGTGGGAAAATATAGGACCATAATGCAATGTAGCTTAGGTTTCAGGATGTTGATATGCAACTACCAACTACTAGTAGAGATATTTTTGGTTCCTTACACTTTACTATTCGTTGGAAAAAAAACTACCAACATTAGAAAACCAAAAACGGACAACTCTGATATTTTGCCAATCTTTTGACACTGTCACTCTTTGCATTAAAAATCATCCGAAACATTATGTAAGAGTTTTTTTTTTACTATATGATAAATATAATCTGATGAGCATCTTTTGTTTTGAGAATATTTTTTGTTTACAGGCTTAGGTTATCTAAAATTTTCAGTACTAGTTATAAGTTTGATACCTACTATGTAAAGTAAAAACAACATTCCAATGAAGTAAATAATTGAAAGACTGATCTTTAGAACGAAAAATAATAATTATAAAAGTAGATGTGGGAAAATGTTATTATAACATAATTTTAGACAGTATTCTTTGTCGGAACATTTATTTTTAATAGTATAAACTATTTAAGGAAGATTTTATAATTAATACCACCAACTAACAAAAATTAAAATATAGCTTACGTGTGCGGGGAAAAATCTGGCTTGATAATGGAGACACCATATCGTATGGGTGAGACGTTGAATGGAACAACCGGCCTAGACATCAACCATGAGAAGAAATTGCTTGAGGAGAAACTTGACCAGCTCCGAGCCACCGGAGCCTCTCCTGAAACCATCACACAAGCCATGAGGGATCTCGGACTCACCAGGTTCTAATCCCTACTTATATTTTGCAAAGAAATTTAAAACTGTTGAACTTTAAAATGAGAAAGCATGGAACTAATCCTTGTAAAATAATGATAGGGCAAAGATGTACGGATGGCCAAACACATATGTGTTCACGAAGGCAATGGGGGAGATGATGGTAGGGGCAAAAAGGGAAAATATATCACTTGTGTTGCTTCGTCCTTCAATAATCACAAGCACATTCAAAGAACCATTCCCTGGTTGGACCGAGGGCATCAGGTTAGACTAACAACTAAATGAAAAGTTTTTGTTAGAAAAAGAACTAATGACTCGTGTTAGTCCACTAGTCTTAGTCAATAAAGCAATTACACTTTAAATGTTCAGGACCATTGATAGTTTAGCTGTTGGATACGGCAAAGGCAAACTCACATGCTTCCTTGCTGATCTTAATGCTGTTTCCGATGTGGTACCTACTCTCTCCTTAATCTACTTTCTACATTAAACATTGCACGTATATATCATTTTCTCATATTTTTGTTTGGACACATTAATTTGATGGACCAGGTGCCCGCAGATATGGTAGTAAACTCGTTACTAGTATCCATTGCTGCTCAAGCCGGTAAACAGAAGGAGATTATTTACCACGTCGGTTCTTCACATAGAAACCCCTTGAAAAATGAAATATTTCCTCGAGTAGCGTACCGGTATTTCTCAACCAAACCATGGATCAACAAAGAGGGAAACCCGGTTCACGTCCGGAACATTGAGGTCCTGAATTCTATGGCTAGTTTCCACAGATACATGACCATACATTACTTGCTTTCATTGAAGGTAACAGTTCTAGTATTATTTTTTTGTTATTAACCGGTATTGGGTTTCTAATTACCTATATAATTTTATTTTATTTCGTTCTATCACAGGGGCTTGAATTAGCAAATGTGGTACTTTGCAAGTTGCTGGACAAGAAATTTAGGGATGCCAATAGAAAGATAAATTTTGTATTCCGGCTTGTTGATCTCTATCGGCCATACCTCTTTTTCACTGGAATGTAAGCGAGGTTTTTAGTATCTAACTACGTTTTGAGATCTAGAACATATGCTATATAGATACTAACCAGAACCTGTGTACATACATACATGCAGATTCGATGATACAAACACGGAAAAACTGCAAAGAATGTTGCCGAAGACGGGAGCCGAGACCGAGATGTTCTATTTCGATCCAAAAGTTATCAATTGGGACGACTATTTTGTCAACATACATATTCCTGGACTGGTTAAGTACGTTTTCAAATGATCTTACTGTGTTTCCATTGAGTGTCCCTTTCAAATATTGGGACAATATACTACTCTTTTAATCTGTTTTCATTCGGCTATGTTTTTAAAATTCGGTTATATATATACCCTGGTTGTTTTCATTTATACTTTCACCATTTGTAACTCTTATAGTTTAAAAGAAAATATTAAGATCAACATTAAGATGTATTGTTGGTTGATCGAGATGACTATCAATCAGTGTGAATTGAGTTACATGCCATTTTCGATAGAGTGAGCAAAATTATTTAAGTCTTGTTGCTATTCACATATTCTAGTTGTATCAAGTTTTAGCCAAATGGAGTATAAAAGAGTCTACAAGCAAGAATTACATTTATTCATTCGCACCACTAATGAAAAAGAAACTTTGAACAAAATGATATTCGCCTCAATCTTTTCTCTTTCGTGGATTCAAAGAACTAATCTTGTCCCATGATATCACATGATCAATTTATTGCCTAAGATTGTGACACATCACATAAGTCATTTTCAATCTCCTAACTCATTCATATAACTTTAGTATTAGAGCCAAATCGTCAAACCCCATAATGTCATGTTAGTTGCATTTAGACACACTAATCATCTGCATTAAATACTTGCAACAAGCATTCTTCGCACCTAGTCTCCACTCTCCACATGCAGTCACCAAAAAGCTTGGATAATATAAATGGGCTTCATAGTGGGCCATAAAGTAAAAACACTGGCCCATAGTTTTAATTAACATTTCAAAACAGAGAAAAGGAAAGAAAAAAGCTGAGAAGCTCTCTGATGCGTAACGAACGATGCCATTTTCCGCTTCAGTATCATCGCCTTCTTCTCTCGCACTTCTCTCAGCTCAATCACGATCGCCTCTCTCCTTCTTCATCTTCAATCCCAAAACCCTAATCTCCACCCGAACCAGGATCCCTGGTTTCCCTTTTGCTTCCCGGCGACCCCGCGATTTCATCAACGTAATATTCGATTTTTGCTTTGTCCACTTGTTTATGTATTTGAAGAAGACGATTCAGTTTCTGAGCTATGATTGGGTTTCAAACAGGGAAGGGATGATGTCGGCGATGATAATCGGAGCTGGAACCGGAAGATCAGACCGGAGTATGGTTACGATGAGGATTACGACGGGGAAGAAGACGAAGACGATCAGGAGGAAGAAGATAGAAGCTTGGATCTGTTACTCAGGTTCGTCGAGAATGTTTTCAGAAAAGTCTCGAAGAGAGCAAGGAAAGCCGTCCGATCAATTCTCCCTGTTTCGATCTCTACGAAGCTCGTAAGTCTCTGACTCTTCGATTACATTGATGATCCTCTCGAGTATTCAATCAAATCGGAAATCTTAGAGTTTCCCACTCTAATCTGTAGATTTAAGGTCTCGGATCAATATGTGTCTTTACCAAATTCGCATCCCCTGATAGTTTTGGTTCAATTTTAGGTGGGATTCTCAGTGAATGGAGTACTCATTCTTGCATTTTTGTGGATCTTAAAGGCCTTCCTCGAGGTAATTATACTCTCCATTGAATCATGAAGTTGTAAAGAAAGGTTCTTTGCTGCTATGCGTGAGTTAACTAGAGGTGGATTGTTTTGTTACCCTATAAATGATTGCTATAGCTTTGTTATCGGATTCTCTGACTTTGGTAGAAGACTGTATCTTTTATAGGTATTGAATAGAGAGAGTAGAAATTAAGCTTAGAACCTGTGTTGATGAGTTGCGGTTGAATTGAGTTTCCTGGTAAATGCAAACTCATGCTAAGAATGTCCAACTAAATTGAAAATGTTACTGAACTCAAGTTAAGCACTCACGCATAGCAGCATGAAAGAGGCTAGTATGCGTCTTCACAAACTGAATGGATCTTACTTCAATAGTTGACTGGTCCCTGTGACTCTGTTTTTGAACACTTGAGCTAATGTGCACGTATATTCTTCAATGTATACTCAAGTAGACAGTGTTAATAGCTTTGTTTTTGCTGTTGGATTCAATTTTTTTTATGTATTTTCTGTTGTGGAATGCAGGTTGCTTGCACACTTGGAACTATTGTATTTACGAGCATTCTGCTTATACGTGGACTTTGGGCCGGTGTAGCATACATACAAGAGAGCCGCAACAATAGGATCAATGAATTTGCTGATGACCCTCGTACATGGAATGGGGTGCAACCAGCTTCTTGATCAATTCGATTTGAAAATTCTGACTTTTGGGAGCCAGGGTTGGTTAAGGTTGATCCAAGGCAATAAAACCACAGATGAGTTCAGAATCAGAAAGGAGTTACAGTGGATGTTGTTTGGCAATGTCTGGTGATTTATAACAAGTAAAGAACAAAATGTAATGTTTGTAGCATTCACTGAGTCAGTTATGTAAGCTGGTGTGTAGCTCAACCGAGACCATGTTTCTTAGTTTCTGAATAAATAAACGAAATATAGAATCATACAAATTAGCTTTCTAATTTTGTATGTATATATAATCAGGATTTTTAAGTGTTGATGTATAGAAGATCTCAAGATTCTGCTTACGGGAAACAAAAAATGAAATATTTGGTTTTCACCTGTAGTGTTTTAGAGTGGTTCAACAAAGAGAATGCAATCTTTGCAAGACCTTCCAAAACCGACACCAAGTCAAAGCTTGCATCCACAAAAAGTTATCTCTCGTGGCCGTTCTAACATTAATCTAAATTTTGGCGGTGCTCTACGATTCTTCACTTTCACTTGGACGGACATCTCATATTCGGTTCCACGATACACGAGAGTAGGTGTTAGCTAGATTGTATATTTTGTTTTCTTGTGTATTTTGGGTTATGGTTGTACAGTTAGGATACAATTTGTTTAAATGTCCTATTGTACACTATATCTAGTCCATGACTAGCGGACTTTAATAAGTATATAACAGGTTTTAGGTTGGTTTTAGTGTTCTGTATAAAAATAACGAAACACATCTGTACTTTCTCTGCTTTAAATAATTTTTTTTGGTTCAGAATCGGCTTGGATTATATGCCAGCTCCCAAGACTACAAATCTTTGCCTTCTATTGGATTTGTTGTTAGCTTAATACTGTATAATAGATTTTAAACGTCATACGCCTTTTTTGTTAAAGTTAGTCGTATTATACGCCTAACGGGTCAATTCTTAGCTTAAAAGACGATATTTGAATACCCTTTCATTGTTGACCTTGATTAACTCATTGTTCAGGAATGCAATTTGAAGACCTCATAATGGAGAAAATGATAAGAGAGATGAATCTATAGAACGTTTTGTTTCAGATGTTTGATTTAGTCATTACTAAAGAATATCGACGATAGAGAAAAGAGATGTTAAAAGCGGATATGTTCTAATGCACTTACAAATTACAATACATATGCAAATATTTTTCACCTAAAACGAAAACCAACTAAACACCCACAAAAGGCTAAAAGTCGACAATAATGCCAAAAGATTAGTGGGTGTATGAAATTCCACTAAGGTGCATTTTGAAGTTTGATGTTCTTATGTACCTTTTATTCCCACTTAGTGGTACACATATATACACAGAGACAACACAAACACAATATGCATATTATAAATAAATATATTATGAAAATGTATGTGCTCTTCATTAATTTATTCAACCTTGGACGAATTTTTCATACTGCATGTAAAAACACAAATCATTTTTTCACATAAACACCACATTTGAATCCTAATCAACGACACTTATATAGTTATCTAGCGAATAAGGATAACCGTACTTGGATAATTTCCATGTGACGTTGTCGTCGTATACTCCTACAGTTTCTACAGTTTTTGTTTTGTTTTGCTCATCTTGACGTATACAAATATTCCATCCACCGAAATAGAACTGGACTCTTTTATCAAAAGTCAACTGTCAGGTGTTAGAATAAAAAGATATGCACTATTTTGTAAGTAACGATCAATCGCATAGAAATTTGACGACACATCATATTCTCGCAAACCTGAACATATATGTCCGACCAGAGAGATAAGTCAACTCGGTATATGATTCTACAATTAGTTGATCGTCAGCACCTGTTAAGTCATGTCAATGATAAATATACAACATTCAAGTATCATATTCTATCTGACCATATGAAGATGAATTCTAGAATCACAAGTTTGACATCTCAAATACCCAAAAAGAGATGATTCAATCACTAACAATATATCTAGTTAAGTAGCAGCTAGGTCAAACAATACATGAAGTTGTATTGTAATTATTTCAAGTGTATGAAAACATGAACCAATTACAAATGTTGTGATAGATAAGTAAATGACATTAATATAAAATTTTAAAACGTGGAAAAGATCATGATTATGTATACTAATTATTATGTCAGTTCAACATTTTCATTTATCTAAAACTAAGATTCTGACAGAAACAAGAGACTCTTCTGCCTAACAAAAAGAGCATATTCCCTTGCATGTTGTTTATCGTTATACATTCCTATAAAGTGAATTACATTTATCAATAGTATAGCCATATATGTTAAAATATGATATAAGTTGGAAATCAATAGACTTAACCTCTCCTTTTAATCATTTTATATTGGATGTGATCTAAAAACTGATCCACCACAAAAGATCTTCATGAAGCTATTTGTTAAGACATTTTGCAACACTTGTTTTTTCATTTCATAAAATACTAATTGTTGTCTCGTATACTTTTGTGTTTAACAATAAAGAAATCGACAGATATCAAAGTTTTAAAACAATATCAGTAGTGGGGCACGTAAGATTACTATCAAATGACAAATATGCATGCGCGTCCGAACGAACATAGATTTTAAGAAACGGACGAGCTTATCCAAATCTTGAGCGTCTTAACGTTGAAAAGAAAAAAAACAGGATTTGCAATAACGGAACAATTATTAAATTGGTTTGTCTTATTTTAATCCTATGATGAAACTTAGAACATAAATGGTGACGCGTACTTATATGAGTCTAGAGTAATTAAATCGACCTATCTATCGATTGAATTAAGACAATAAGTGTAGTTAATACTAATAGTTATGCAGCCCAAACATACTGTATGTGTTTCTGGCGGATCCTATTGCATTTGTCGGGGTGGGGACAAGGAGGCGTTGCCAAACAAACATCACATGATTTCCACATTTTTAATGAGCTGTGTAGCCTGTAATAGATTTTGTATTTTAAAATTCAGAATCATCAATATTTTCTAAAAACAATTAAAATTGTGTGTACCGGTTTCTTGTGTAATTTTTTTTGGTAATATGTTATTTCTTACCACTATTTCTTCATATCTTTAAAAAAAATGATATTGGTCTTATGTCAGCAATCAAGCTCACAATACATATTGGTGTAGAGACTACGTGGAATTCATTTTTTTTAAAAGGAGAATTACGTGGAAACTTTAGCTGCTCGCTGCAGTGTGGAAATAAAAATATTAATCTAAAAAGAAGGAAAAAAAATAAAAAAAAATCATTCGAAGCTTTGGGAACGACCATTTCAGTATTTCACTAAACATATCTATTTTTTTTCTTTTCCTGCAATTCTCTCAAATCTGTCTTCCTCTATAAATATTTGATTCCCAGGCTCAACATTTTCCCATCTCACTTCTCTCTGATCTCTCTTCTCTGTCTCTCGCTTCTAAACTTTGACGTATGCGTATAGTGTCGGACTCATCTCTCTCTCTCTCTCTCTCTCTCTCTCTCTCTCTCTCTCTCTCCTTTTCCCTCGTTTATCGCATCGAGAGAGACTATAGACAATAGAGGCAGTGCCAATTCCACCACTTGCGTCTACACGGAGATAGAATCTTAGACGAATCTTCTAAAGGAATCTGCCTTTTGCTCCTCCTTTTTTAATACCGTCTCTATTAATGTTTGGGACTCTTGCCTCCGGCGAAACCGAAACTGCCAGATTGAGGCGTAATTTGGGGATTACGTGCAATTTAGGGTTTTCCTGCGCCGGATTTGAGGACTTTGGTATGAGATTGGAAGGTGAAAACATGGTGGTGCCACACGGAGGTGGTGACGAGGAAGAAGGAGGAGAAGGCCGAGTGGTGAACGAAACGCTGCCGTTTCAAGTCCAACAGCCGTTTCAGCAGATGCAGAGACTCGTTGTTGGGTATGCTCTGACTTCTAAGAAGAAGAAGAGTTTCTTGCAGCCCAAGCTTGAAGTCCTGGCTAGGTAACTGAATACAAACCCAAATGCTTTGTGAATCATCAAGTTTTAAGCTTTCATTTGGTATTCATACATACATAGTTACCAAATTTGTGTAATAATATTTAGATGTGTTTCGTTTTCCTGAAGACGACTGTTCTTTTTGTTGGCGTTTAAGAGAACCGACAATTTTTTCTTTTTCTACTTTTGAAAAAGGATGATATTTAGGACTTTGACATTTTCTCCAAGATTTGGTTCTTGTTTCCTTACTCTTGTTTTGGGTAGCTATTTGTTGGTTTGCCTGATTCTATTGGAAAGAGGACCATTTCCACTTGCCATGTTTTGTCCTTTATAGAGTCTCCTTGCTCATACTTACACTAGTATGCTTGTGGTATCAGGAACCTTGTTTCTATGGGAATATTCCTTGTAGAAATCCTCTATTCAGCTTTGACTTTAGCTTATTAAAAAATAAAATACTTTGGTGTTTTTTTTTGCCTTTTCTGTGGCTTGGAATTTGGAAATCTTCTTCAGTCACATGGGTGTTTTGGCGAAAACAATGACTGCTTCTAGTTAAAATATTATGTTCTAGAATCTCTCAAATATGGAGAACGTTTCTATATAGTTTTTTCTTCATTCTGACTTTAGGTCTCTGCTTTTGCTACTTTCTAAATCTGCACATAGCTTTCATTCTTCTTCTAGCTGCGTTTTGAAGAAATTGCTGACAGTGCTACTTTTCGTGTCTATTTTAGGAGAAAAGGCATTTGCTTTGTCCCTATTGATTCGAACCGTCCACTTTCTGAACAAGGACCATTTGATGTCGTTTTGCATAAGGTTTGTGCATTGTGAGAACTAGGAATGTTTTCAACGTGTGTTTCTGCTGGAAATCTAATTAAGTATATAATTGTGCTCTTGCAGTTGCTCGGGAAAGAGTGGCAAGATGTTATTGAGGTTCGGAAAAAGTTTTCATTTTGTGGCTCCAACCCATTCATTCATTAGTATAGTGTCGTCAAGTACAATGTCATGTTCTACATTCTTATGTTGGTCTCATTTCGTTTGAAGGATTACCAGCAAAAACACCCCGAAGTGACTGTGCTTGATCCTCCAGGCGCAATACAGCGTATATATAACCGACAATCGATGCTTCAGGGTATGGCAGATTTGAAGCTGTCAGATTGCAGTGGTAACATTCCTCATCGACATTGCATATCAAGAAGAACTTTCTCAAGTTTCTCTATAACTACCAATGTTTGCCATGGTAAATCTTTGTAGGCAGCATTTTTGTTCCAAAACAAATGGTTGTCTTGAAAGATGCAGCATCTAGTGCCAACAAAGTTGTGGAAGCTGGTCTTAAATTTCCACTAGGTACATTCCAACATACATATTCTTTCCACTAAATGTTCTTATATATACAAATGAGGATTTTGACCAGAGGTTTAAACCTATTGCTTTCAACTTTGTGACAGTTGCAAAGCCACTCTGGATAGACGGAACTGCAAAGTCGCACCAATTGTCCTTAGCTTATGACAGGCGCTCGCTTGCAGATCTTGAACCGCCTTTAGTCCTTCAAGAGTTTGTTAATCATGGTATTGAGTTTGACTTGAATATACCATGCATGTTTCTTGAGAATATTCAGTGCAATGCAACTTACCTCACTTTGTTTGCTGCATTAAGGTGGAGTTTTGTTCAAGATTTTTGTGGTTGGTGATGTTATAAAAGTTGTGAGACGATTCTCTCTACCAAATGTGAACAACTGTGAAAAATCCAAAGTTGATGGCGTCTTCCAATTCCCAAGGGTTTCGTCTGCTGCTGCTTCAGCGGATAACGCAGATTTGGACCCTAGTGTTGCTGAGCTACCTCCAAAGCCTTTCCTCGAGGCTCTTGTCAAAGAGCTTAGAAGCTTATTGGTATATTTACATTGTTTGCTGCTTCTAAAGACATTTTCCTTTGCATGTCCGGTTTCTTTTTGGTTTAACTGAGAATTTGTTGCCTGCTTTCTTTTGATAGGGACTCCGACTTTTCAACATCGACATGATCAGAGAACATGGGAGCAAAAACGTGTTTTATGTTATTGACATCAATTATTTCCCTGGCAAGTTTTTCTTTTTCTTTTTGAAGCTTGTGTTGTTTGAATATGAATTTCTTAGAGAAGCATAGAAGTGAACATACAAGTCTGTTTTTTGAAATCGAAATCTGCAGGTTACGGGAAGATGCCAGATTACGAGCAAGTGTTTGTGGACTTCTTCCAAAATCTGGGGCAAGTTCAAAATAACAAGATACATTGTAAATGAAGAATGGGGACAATGTTAGATTTAATAATAAAACACTAATCATGTATTTGTACAGAATTTAGCTCTCCTTTTTGGAAGCTGTATCAGATAAACAAGTTTTGATTACGTGACTTAAAGTTTTGAATAACATAAACAAAAAATTCCAGAGAAGAAGTCACTATTGATGGCCAAAAGTTACACATTTGGACGATTCCGGTTAGTTATGAACCAAACCAATTTAAATCGGTTAGCTCAGATAAGATTTACTTATTTGTTATTCCCACTTGCTCACTGACATAGTTATTCCCAACATGAAGGATTTTAAGTTTCAAAATTGATTTAGGTATAAATTCAACTAAGATTATAACATAGTTATTTAAAATCAGTGTGGCTTAGTTCCAATATCATTGCCATGTTCTAATCTTAACTGAATTTGATTAACATATAATCAAAAGAATGAATTTATGAGCAATTAGTAAAATTAATATTTTTAACAAATTAATTCTGAAGTTTTGTTATTAATCATTTGGCACAACAACCCCTTAGAGGCCGTTCCAAGCATGCTTTCGCCTCTGAAAGCGTCCTTCCTTCTCAATGCCCGGGCATCCATCCAATGCATTCTTTTCGATCTTGTAGTCAGGGTACACTGAACACCAAAAAAATATCGATGAAACTATGATAACTAGAAGCAAGGGAATCAAAAAAGTCTATTCTTGACGTGAACGGCCGCTTTGTCATTAGAGTGTGAGAACCTTAAGGAGAAAGCTTTTTGATTGATTTGTTTACTCAACTCGTCAAGGCAAAGACAAAAGGGATCCGCCTCGAATCAAAACGTTCTTTCTTTTCTAAAAACGATCTTTCTTCTCTTATGAAATTGATAGTTTGTGAGAGGGATGCAATCACTCGACTGTAAGGTCCACCAGGTCCGTAGGAGAGTCAGTCTTTCTCTAAGCAAGGTGTTTTCTGGCCTATACGGAAAGAGTTTTCAAGGAGGAACCCAGCTTCTCCCCTCTCAGTGGCCCTTAGCTATATTTCATCAAATAACATATAGTAGTGATAAGTTTACACATTTATATCTTTTTACTCTTTAGCTAGCTAATTAATGAGTTAAATTATACACGAAAAATACACATTTTCGAGCACGTGTTTGTGGACTTTGAATACACAGTATTAGCTCTCCCTTTGGAAGCTGTATCAGATGACAAGTTTTGATTAGTGATTTTGAGCTTTGAATAACAGAAAAAAACATTTTGGGTCAATGACTAGCAAGTACTGAGAGACATCCAAGTCCGAGACTCGTTAATCCTCTCACTCCTTTGAGTCCTCTGTAAATAAAGAAACTAAGCTGAGATCAAATTCTTTCTCTGATATGAAACTTGACAAACAATTTCAAAACGACTGCAATCAGGAACAGATTCATGATACAAGAGGAAGACGATCAAGATCAATCAACAACATGGCAACATCTCAAGTTGACAAATTTTCCCTGTTCCTCAACTCAAATAAACATAGATCGAAGCATGTAAAGACGGTTAAGCTTCCACTTGACCACATGCGCTTCAACTCGCAAGTCGTCCACGTCCTAGACCAAGATTGTGACCACGCTGCTTTCCTCCTTAATCGTCCCATTCCTTTCAGTCATCGCCGCTGTAGATGTTCATTTTAGGTTGATTTTATTTTTATAACTTGAGTGTCATGATGGTGTCAAGTGGTTTGAGTTTCGTAACTTTGGTTTCAGTTTTGTCTGTCCGAAGTGTTCCTTTGTATGCGTTTGATGTTCTACAGTTTTGTCTGGTTGAGGTTGTTGGATGCGTTTGACGGAGGAAAAAAACACCGATATTTCCAACTCTACCGTATCGAATCTAATTCGTGGAGGGTTCTTACGTCAATCCCGAGTGGACGATACACCACCACCAGCAACGTGGCGTGACAGTCAAGGGAAACACTTACCTTGTTGCTCAAGACAAGTCATCGCCAACAATAGCAAAGGTTGGAGTTTGGTTACTCTGTTTTGATTTTACGGCAGAGAGGTTTGGACCTCGTCTTCCTTTGCCGACTCACTCAGAAACCTTGGCTCTGTCTAGCGTTAGAGATGAGCAGCTCGCTTTGTTATATCAGTCTCCCACTAGTTTGGATTTTTGGATTACAACTAAAATCGAGCCCAATGCGGTTTCTTTGAGCAAGTTTGTCAAAGTGGATACGCAATGGCTCTCTGGTTTTACGGCTAACTTCTGTGGTGGGAGCTTCTTCGTTGACGAGGAGAAGAAACTCGCCGTGGTGGTGGTTCCCTATTTGCCTAAATCCTATCTAAGTGTATATAAACCCATCAAGACTTGTCGCCCCCTAGCTTCTCTTTATGTCATGGGAGATGCTCATGGTGGATACTTGAAACCTTTGAATATTATTGGACAAGCTACCAAATCCCTCGGATACTTCTACCAATTTTCCTTCTCTCCTTATGTTCCAAGTTTAGTTCAAATCAACCACAAGAAAAGGAAACACGGAGGTTTTTAACTTGCAACAATACATTATTTGTTTCGTGTATCGTTTTAACTTTTTGTTTTACTGTTTTATACTCTATCATCTTATCTATGAAACAATTCGGCTTTTGTATGTTTTCAATTGTTTATGTCAACCGTTATTGTAGGAGAAGTCATGTGAAAGTCCAGAGATGTGATTAGTGTGTTTATAAGAGAAACTAGGCATGGGCATAAAAACCGGAACCGAAAAACCCGAACCGAACCGAACCGATTTTGATGAAACCGAACCGAACCGAAACCGGCATAAAACCCGAACGGTTTTTACATTTCTAGACCCGAAAAACCGAAACCGAACCCGAACCAAAACCGAAAACCGAATGGATACCCGAAATATAATTATATATATAAATAATTAGCTATATTTCTTTTTATAATAACCAAATTATCTAAATTATAATTTTATACTGTATATATTAGTTATATTTAGAAGAAAATAACAAAAAAATTGAAATATCCTAAATCTTGTAATAATATTTATTTAAATTCAATTTTTTTTGCAAAATTTAATTTATTTTCATATAAACTAATGGATTTCCGGAACCCGAAACCGATCCGAACCCGAATGAAACCGAACCGAACCCGAACCGAACCCGAATATATAATGAAATAAACCGAACGGTTTCTATATCTCTAGAACCGAATAAACCGAAAACCGAAAAATCCGAACCGAACCGAAAAACCGAACGCCCAGGGCTAAGAGAAACTTACTGAACCAAAAGTCTCATTTTGACGATTCCGGTTAGTTATGAACCAAACCAATTTAAACTGGTTTAACTTCAAATCAAAGTGAAGAGACTGGTTCGATCAATTTATCCTTAAACCTTTCTTTCTCCTCCCTTTTGCTATTCTTGTCCCAACAATGTCTCTCCTCCGGCGAACTTTGCCTCTTCGACCTGCTTCGTTTTCTCGTTTCCTCTCCGCCACCGCTATATCCACCTCAAACGCCGCCGTTTTATTCTTCCTACCTAAACGGAGAAACCCACTTCCCGGAATCCGAAGAACCTTCTGCAGCTCCACTGCCGCAGCTGCCTCCGGCGACGTCGTTGTGAAGCCGCTTCCTTCTTCTCCTTCGGTTCTTCGATGGGTATCGCGCACAGAGCTATGCGGCGAGTTATCAGTCGACGATGTTTGTAAAAGGGTCCACCTTTGCGGTTGGGTCGCTCTTCACCGAGTCCATGGAGGCCTCACTTTCCTTAATCTCAGAGATCATACCGGCATTGTCCAGGTTTCTTATTTCACCCAAAGTTTTCGACTTTGCACTAACCGTTAAGTATTAGGTAACAGTAGATTGGCATTTAGAAGTTTCTTCTCAACAATTGCACGATTCGTATTGAATATTAAGTAGTGTTGGATTCAATCCCTTCCTTGATTTGACTTGTTTTTATAGCTGTGTTGATTCCTTAGCCTTGATTCGGATCTATTTCAGCACTTTTACTCTGTTTGTGTGACGCGAAGATATGCATATTTGGAGACTGAATGCTTCGTTTATGTTTGACAATTTTTGTAATGTTAGGTTAGGACGCTTCCGGATGAGTTTCCTGAGGCACATGGCTTGATCAATGACATGAGGCTTGAGTACGTTGTTTCGGTGGAAGGTACTGTTCGTAGTAGGCCAAATGAGTCCATCAACAAGAAAATGAAAACTGGATTCGTTGAGGTATGTATGACTTCTCTTCTCAATCAGCACTTAGCTGCGTTTTTATATGTTTCGAGTTTCTCCGAAAGTTGATGCGGATTAGTATGTTGGCACTAGGTAGTTGCAGAGCACGTTGAAATACTGAATCCTGTGAGGTCAAAGCTTCCCTTCCTAGTTACTACTTCAGACGAGACAAAAGATTCAATCAAAGAAGAAATCCGCTTAAGGTGAAATATTAGCTGTATGATCTTATCTTTGATGGTTCGTCTTTTTCGTGCTGAATCTCTAGATGTTTACTGATGCTTTGGCTTTTTGTTTGTATGGTGTTAGATTCCGGTGTCTTGACCTACGCCGTCAGCAGATGAAGAATAATATCGTTCTTCGCCATAATGTGGTGAAGCTTATTAGGAGGTATCTAGAAGACATCCATGGATTTATTGAGGTGATTCTCTCTCTATTTGAAAGAGGCTCTGTAAAGTTTTCTTTTGTATATTTTCAGCTGTGGGTCTTAACACGCTTTTGCATCTTGGTTTGTTGTATGTGTTAGATTGAAACTCCAATACTCTCTAAGTCTACTCCAGAAGGCGCGCGAGATTATCTGGTTCCGTCGAGGATTCAGGTGCATTTACTTCTTTTTGTCTTGATTTAGTTCCTGTTACAGAATCAATCTCGGCTCAAGTATAGGGTTTCATCATAGTTTGTAGATCTGATTCTGTCAAATGTCTCTTTCGAAGTCAGGAACATTCTATGCTTTGCCACAAAGTCCGCAGCTCTTCAAACAAATGTTAATGGTCTCCGGTTTTGACAAATATTACCAGATAGCAAGGTATGCATATGATCTTTGTCTCTTGGTTCCGCATAAGACTCCCTGACATTAGTGGCTTTATCACCTTCATTAATAGGACTCTTGATGAAAATGATTTTTTCTCTCTCTTGCTTTTTATTGCCATATTATTAGATGTTTTAGAGATGAAGATTTAAGAGCTGATAGGCAGCCTGAATTCACTCAGCTTGATATGGAAATGGCGTTCATGCCTATGGAGGACATGCTGAGTCTGAATGAAGATCTTATCCGTAAGGTTAGGGTTCGACTGAGCTATTTCTGTATGACTTTATCTATTCTGTGACAAGCTCAATGTTGTCCAGTTGTTGCTTCGTGATGTGTTTCTTGTAATTCCTACATGTCCTGAAGTTCTGAACCTCATTTTCTATATGGATCTCTTCACTTTAGTCTTAGTTTGATGCTCTTTCAGCATTTATAATTTTCTCGACCTTTTTGTGCAGGTCTTTTCAGAGATCAAAGGTATCCAGCTACCTGATCCATTCCCAAGGCTGACGTATGCTGATGCAATGGACCGATATGGCTCAGATAGACCAGATACAAGATTTGATCTTGAGTTGAAAGACGTAATATAATCTGCCTCTTGGTTATTTAGTTAATGTTACAAAGAAGTAGATATATGTCTTTTTGCCTACTTTTGTTTTACTTAGGCTTGGTTATGCCTTAAACCAGGAAGTGCGTTTTAGAGCTGTTTCCCAATTTTGTACAGGAGCTTAGAAGTCTATCTCAAAGTTTAAATCCCAAGTTTTTGAAACTGCAGGTGTCAAATGTTTTCACAGAATCATCCTTCAGGGTTTTTACGGAGGCCCTTGAAAGTGGTGGTATCATTAAGGCATTGTGTGTGCCTCTGGGTGCTAAAAAGTATTCAAACTCAGCTCTCAAAAAAGGAGACATTAACAGTGAAGCAATGAAATCCGGAGCAAAGGGTCTGCCTTTCTTGAAGGTCTTGGATAATGGTAAACAGATAAATCATGCGTACTGCTTTCTCTTTGTCTTTCTTAACTAATCATTGTCCTATGACTATACTTTGTACATTTAGCCTGACGAGGTCTAAACTTGTGATGCAGGTGAGGTCGAGGGAATTGCAGCATTAGTTTCTAGTTTAGATTCGAAGGGTAAGACAAACTTGGTGAGACAATGTGGAGCAGAGCCTGGTGATCTTATATTATTTGGAGTGGGTCCTGTTACTTCTGTTAACAAAACGCTAGACAGGTTAAGACTCTTTGTAGCCCATGACATGGATCTGATTGACCATGTAAGTTTCTTCATTGGCCAGTGACTTGTTATTCCCACTTGATAACAGTTCATCAGATTTATGCCATTTTTATTTTATTATATAGTCCAAGCACTCCATTCTGTGGGTAACAGATTTCCCAATGTTTGAGTGGAATGAAGCAGAGCAGAGACTTGAGGTCCGTCGCTTCATAA